TCTCTGGTCACTCCAATATCAGATGTTGGGCAAGGATTTTCCAACACACCCGCTGCCACCCCCAGCCTGGGCTGGGTCCTGAGACTGAGGCTGTTTGGTCTCACTGCTGCAGGCAGCTTGACTTGTGGAAGCACCTGGTGGGAAGTTCATACTCCTTGCACTGCCAGTCTACACAGGCCTGTCCCTGTGAGACTTGAGGCAAGGTGTGGGGCAGAGCAAACAACCCTCCTAAGCCAGGATGTCTCTTCCCAAAGTTTGGGAATAGACTGGCTTGTTTAGTAGGGACAAGCCCTCAGTGACGTGGCACTGTAGGAATAAGGAGGGATTTGGGGCCCAGATACTTTCCTTAAGACTTGGCTCCTATACTCCAACCACAAGCAAGTGGCTTAACCTCTTTTGGCTTCACCTCACCTGGTTTCCTCTTCTGTGAAATGAGGTTCCAGTCCCTGCCTTGTCAGTGCTGTACTGTGTGACAGTGATGCGCCATATTGACTTGGGGGAGGGATTGCTTTCTGAAAGGTAAGGAAGCTGCTCAAGGCCTTCCAGGCCCATTTCCTCCTGCTGCCTTCCCAAATGGAGGAGCAAATGAGCTATGTAGAACACATGGTGCCCAGAGCTGTCTGAATCGGCTGTTGGGAATCTTTTCTTTAGAGGACCAGTCAGCTTGCTCCAGGGCCTGTCTTATCTCTATGGGGGGAGGAAAAAGACATTTGTAGGTAGGGGTCTCTATTTCTTCCCAGGCAGGGAAATTTATGTTTATGGGAGGCAAGAAAAACTCTAGGATCTACAATGACAGGGCTGGCATGGCTGGTGTGGCCTCCTGCTCTCTTGCGAGTAGCCCATTCTAACTTGGGCATCTAGGCCTTTGCTGACTCTGGGCTTATGAATTTGTTCAGCCATGGAGGAAACCTCCATGAGCTTCTTTTCTCTCCATGCTCTGCAGAGCTGTGAGCACCCAGATGAGTTAGGTACTATCCCTGCACCCAGGAGTCCCTGGCAGAGGGGAGATGGTTGAGTAAACAGCCATGGGCTGTTAAGTGGGCCTGGTGCTGAGAGAGTACAGAAAGAGTGTGGGTGTGCTCAGGGAGGCTCGGGTGGCAAAGGAGCAGACTGGAGCTGGGGCTTGGCTGAATGCGGAGGCCCCTGCCACCCCACCCAGAAGTCAGGCTGGGTGTGAAGGTGGTGGCATCTGATTGCAGCATTGGCATCCACCAGCTTCTGCTGGACCCCTCCCAGACACAACCAAGGCACAAGAAGTGCTGACAGCTGGATAGCAAGGTCTGGCAATGGACTGGGGCTGCCCAACTGAACCCTTACTTCCTGGCTGCTCAGGAGACTGGTCCAGAGCTGCTGTATTGTCCTGAACAATAAGTCCCAAATATACTACTTAGCTAGGAGCCCTCAGAAAGGTGGGCCCCAGAGATCATAAAGTTCATCTTCCTTGCCCCCGATTTTAGATGGGACAGCCCAGAGAGGTGAATTGACTTGGTCAATTTGACACAAGAGTTGTTGGCAGAGCTTGGACCAGAACTCTAGGGAGCTGCTGCACTGTTCCTGGCCCACTCATCTGAAGGAAAACAGCATTCATTTCCCCTGTCTCTCCCAGGCTCCCCCAGCTTCATTGTGAAGACAAGAGAAAAGAAACGTAAGGGGACCTATAGCAGAGGAGCAGACAGGCCCGGAAGTTGGGCCTGAATTGAGTCTAACTGCCATTGCTTGGATGAGTAGCCTTGGTCATATATCACCATTAAATGGGGGCGGGGGGCGGTTTGGTTGATGCCAAACTCACAGGAGTCCAAGTGCTTTGGGGACCTGAAAGCTTCATGGTCCTCTTGGGCAGGGACCTCCTTTTCTTCTCACTTAGCAAACCTTTCTGAGTGCCTGCCCTGGCCTTGGCCCTGGCAGGGCACTGGGGACCCGAATGTGGATCAGACCCAGGTCTGGACCTCAGGCAGTTTTCAATCTGATGTGAGAACCAACTTACAATAGGGAGTTAGTTCCTCCCTTGTGCTGGTCTCTCCTGACTTCATCTTTAGGCAGAAAATCTCCCCAGGGTAGCAGGATAGCACCTGACTGATCCAGGGTTCCATGGTCCTTTGAGTTCTCCAGAGAAGGAAAGACCTTTTTTCAAAGGCTTTCTGGAGGATATGATGCCCTCTCCAGGGTTTGAAGGATGTGTTGTTTCATCTCATGGTCAAGGATTCATTAAGTGGACAGAGCAGGGAGAGTTCTTCTTGGCAGAAGAGCAGTGACTCAATATCTCTGAGGCCCACTGGGGGCTTCCATTGGAGTTTGGGGCACAACATCCATAGACAGGCCAGCTCCCGGGCTGGCTCTGTGGCCAGCTAAGTGGGGACTGTGGGAGTGGACCTGGCAGCCCCACCCTCAATATATCCACCCAGGAGGTGTTCTCAGTTGTTTAAATGGGTTTGTCACCAATGAGGAATTTCTGTACTGTTCCCCAAAGCCAGACTGCTGCCCCCAACTATAGTTGGCTGTCCCAAGGCAGGGGCTCGATAAATGACTCCCCGTACACCTTGAATTAAGTACTCCTCTAGCCATTTGCCACAGGGGTCCTATCTGCAGCAGGACCTAGAAAGATGTCTGATCTTCTTGATTACCTTTATTTCCTGCCTAGTAGAAGGTGGTAGCACCTACCTCTCTCCCTTACCCCCATCTTGCAGCACCTGAATCTTTGCACTGAAGCACTTAAAGTTGTATTTCTCTTAATCACCTGGGATCTTGTCAAAGTGTTGATTTGACTCAGTAGATCTAACCAGCTCAAGGGTGATCAGACACCACAGTTTCCAAGCCGTGCTTTGGGTAGCAAAGTGCTAGAGTACCTTTTATCTAGTCCGCTCCAGATACACCAGGGACTCACCTTCCCATAACCCACCACTGTGGCCATGGCTTCTGCATCACTTCATCCTACACAGCTCAGGAGGCAGAGCCTGCTGCTGATTAGCCTTGAATCAGGGGTTCAGGCCCATACTTGGACTTCCCTCCCGCATGTACTAACCCAGACCTCTCTTCACATGTAGGCCATGGTGAAAAGTCATGAAGCCCTCAAAGATACCTGATTATGACTAAGTCATCTGTCCAGGCCCCACTGCTGGGCAGGTGCATCAGTCCCTGAACATCACCCACTCCTGGACTTGCTGGGTCTCATGGGCTGAACCCTTTACATGGAGCAGCTGCTGTGAGGAAAGGGGTGATTCCCTGAGCTGGGGGGCAGGCATCCTGGGTTCCTACTTTGCCATCTACTACCCGGATAAATTCAGGACAGTCAGTGCCCCTCTCTGGGCTTCACTCTCCATGAGGGTATCCTGATGACCTTACAGGGCCTTTCAGCCCCAGGAGGTAGGACATTGGACAGGTCTGGAGGTGGGAAGGGCCTGTAATGGTGTAATTTTTATAAAAGGGGAAAAGAGCAATGCTAAACCAAACCTCTGGAATGGCTCTGGGGTCCAGCCTCTTATTTGCTTTTGGGACTTACATACTGTTAGCTTTACCCCAGTTGTATCTGTGGAATATTAGATGCTACTGAGCACCTAGCATGTGCTATGTACTAGCAGAGAGTCCTGTGTTCTTGCCTAGAGTCACACAGTGACTGGAACTAAGGGTTTGAAATGCTGCTGTACCAAGCTCCTCCCTCTGATCCATTAGACCAGTTAAAGGTAGACTGGTATGTCCACTCTGAGGCCTGGCATTTCCTACCTGCCTCTTAAAAGTCAAAGCAGTTGTTAGCTTTCAACTGAGGAAAGGTATGTCCCTTTCCACACTCTCCTGTGAGCTTGTTGCTCTATGGATTTTGATGGAAAGCAAAGCCATGAGTGTAAGCCTCTGAAACTCCCTTTCCCCACCCCCAGCTTGTAGGCCAAGGTGAAAGGTCATGAGATCTTCAAGGACAAGATGGTGACTGAGTCATGTGTGCTGGGCCTTGCACAGTGGGTGGTGGGAAGGAGTGTTTGGCAGCACACCAGAGGCACCCAGTGAAGATGTGCTGAGCAAAGGGGATGCACTGGGCTCCACAGAGGAGGAGTGTAGGGTGGCTCCTGCTTTAGTCCAGCACTGGAAGGAGTGGACATGGATCAGGAGCTTCTCTCATGCTCATCCCCGGCGCCTTCTTCTGCAAGCACCAGGCTTCCTGGTCCCACTGCACATCAGCTGCTGGAGTCCAGGGTATCATCCTGGGGGCACAGGCACAGAGCCAATTAAGTGGGTACATTTTGTTTTCACTTCCAGGCTTGGCACTTGCTTGGTAGCAAACATAATTACAGCCTTCTGTGTCCTCCAAGCTACCCGAAGCTCTCTGTCCACTGGGTTCCTCAGGGAAGCAAAGGGTCCCATCTTGCTCCTCTCTGGGTCCCAAGCTTTGAGCACTTAGATGAGGCTGAACAGATACATTTCTGCATGTGGAAGGAGTGTGGGATTGGTAGGATTGGGGGTGGGAGCAAGAAGCTCAACTCCTTGGAAAAGGGTATCAACCCTGGAGATAAAGGGGGCAGGGCTGGGATTGGAGATGCTCAAAGTACACTTGGAGGAAAAAAAAACATTGCAAATTGGATGTTGAACCTCTGTCCTTGGCCTCACAGACACTGATAGCAAAAATTAAATATTTGTGCTAGATCCAGATAAAGGAGGAGGACAGGCATTTGGGGCAGAAGGGCGGAGGGACAAGAACTGGCCATTCTGGAAGCCTCCTCAAGGCCCAGCTCTTGGGCCAGCTTTTTTAGATACCGCATTTGGTTTCCAAATGACCCAGTGAAGGAGATACCATCTCCTTTGTGTGTATATAGAAACTGGGGCACATGGAAAGCATATAAACAGCCATGTTGTGAAGTTGTTTGGTTTCAGGATGAGGATATAAACCCAGATGTGTCTGATTCTGTGGCTCTTGCCTCACATTTAGGAAGCTACCTATAGGAGTGGGGTTGGCATTGGGGCCCCTGAGGCTGGATGGAAGGGTGGCAGTAGCCTGATACCTCCCTGTGCTGCAGGTGCTGGCTCCAGCATCCTCTCCGCTCTTCAGGACCTCTTCTCTGTCACCTGGCTGAACAGATCCAAGGTGGAAAAGCAGTTGCAGGTCATCTCAGTACTACAATGGATCCTGTCCTTCCTCATTCTAGGTAAGTGAAGATGAGGGGTAGGGTGGGGCAGCAGTCCAGACCATGTCCCCCATAGAGGTCAGGGCAGAAGCATCCTCTCCACTCCTTCTTCCTACTCCCATCCTTTGGGTCCATGGTCAAGTATTCTACCCCTAGGGATACAGATGGCCCAGTGAATGAATCAGTGGGAAGTGGTGGTATGATCCCGTTTTACAAATGGGAAACCCAAGTTTCAGAGAAGTAGGTAACTTACCCAAAATCACTTGAATTCAGGTCTGTGAGACCCCAGAGCCTGTACCTTTCCCACAGTGCCACTCTGCCCACAAACATTTTCTAGGAGGTGTGTTGGTTTACATTTCGGTGTTGTGTTCCTAGATTTGAGTCCAAACAAGTTCTGTGACCTTATATAGGTTACTTGAGCTCTATGAACATTAGCTTCCTCCTTTTGAATATAAGAATGTGCTGCCTGTTTCACATGGCTTTTGTGCATGAGAATTGAAAATAAAGAATGAGCATGTGCATAGGGCCTGGGCCTTATGGGTCCTCATCATAGAGGAGCTGTTGAGAGGGAATGTCCTGAGGCCCCAGCCCTCACCCATCTGTGCTGAACACAGCCGCTACCTTCGGCCTTTCAAAACTGGCACGTCAGTAGGATTGCTGCTTCTGCAGTCCAGTGAGGGGCCCCCTGCCATCTAGGCCAGGTCAGGACAGCATGGAGGAGAGCAGGGCCTAGCTCTCCTGGCAGCCTCTCCTTCCCTCCCCAGCCCTGGGTCCTTAGCACAGCAGGTCATTCTCTAACATGTCAGCTTAGACAGACTTGCTGCAGGGCCTCAGCTGTGTTCTAGCACCTGTGAACAAGGGCCTCTGGGCAACTCACTCTTCAGGGCTGGCCAGGCTAGTGAGGATGATAAGGAGCTGGTGGGTCAGTGCTGAGCATCTATCCTTGTGGGGCAGAGGGATGAGACAAACCCCAAAGTGTGCCAGGCCCTTGACATGTCTGTTCTCAAATCTCAAATTCCCTCTTGAGAGGTGAGGAAATGGAAATCACAGAGGTTCTTTGACTACCTGAGATTATGATGCAGAGGTGGGGTTTGAGTGGAAGTCCAGTGCACTCCCGAAGGAGCCCACCTTACCAGGGAGGCCAGAATTAGTGGGCCTGGCCTGAAACAGCCAGTCTTCACCTTTAGGTCCAAGAGTGGGCTTTGAGGGAGTCCTTGAACCCCTAAAATTAGATATAAAATTAATATGCCAGACTGGGTGCACATGTTTGTGGGAAGAAGGGCTATAGCAGTTCTTATATTCGTATAGGCACGCAGGCCGGGGATTTAGCTCAGTGGTTCTACCACCTGCCTCAAAAGCGCAAGGTCCCGAGTTCGATCTCCGGTACCAAAAAATAAAAAATTAAAAAAATATTCGTATAGGCACATATGGCTTCAGAAAAGATGTTGATTTGGGAAACAGCAAATTAAACTAAATTTTAAAAATTAAATTAAACTCTTAGCTAGGTTTTCATTTGGCCACCTATTAGAATCCTAGAGTAGAGAGCCCTGTGTTACCCCTCCTCATTCAGATAGAAAACAAGGGCTTAGTGGGGACAGAGTCTTTGCTCACGGTCATACGAGAAGAAAGTAGAGGGACCAGGTCAAGAACCTAGGGCTGGGGACATGGTGGTGTATGCTAATAATCCCAGCTATTCAGGGTTGAAGAAGCAGGAGGATTACAAGTTTGAGGCCAGCCTGGGTAATTTAGCAAGACTCTGTTTCAAAATTTTAAAAAATAATAAAAATAAAAAGGGCTTGGGTTATAACTCAGAGATCCAAGTTCAGTCTCCAGTACTGAAAGGAAAAACAAAGGACCCAGAGACTTCAGCCTCCTAGACCCCTGCCTAGTCTGCTACACCAAGCTCCCTTTGTCCCCACTTGCACACAGAAGCCACCACTCTCCTTGTCTTAGTGGGTCAGCTCTTGGCTCTTGGGGCCCTGAGCAGCTTGTAGAATCCTATCCCACACAGCATTCAATGGGGATTGGCCCCAAGCTGTAGGTTAACAATGGATCAGGCCCAGCCACAGCCCAGAAACCTGCCCAGCCTGTCTTCTCAACCTCCTGTAGGTGGGAGCTGGGCCTGGTTGGATGGGCAGGTCTGCTACGCTGCTGCTAATTACTCCCCTGAGCAGCCTAGCCAGTCCCTCTCATTGTACCCCACACCTCTGTTAGAGGCTCACCAGGTATTTCGAAGGCTTCTGTGGCTCAGCCAGAGGGTTTTACTATTTTTGTGCCATGGATCTCTCAGGTATTCTGATGAAGCCTGCAGAACTTCCAAGTGCTTTTAAACATAATATAAAATACATTGCAGGGGCTGGGGATTTAGCTCAGTGGTTCTGCCGCCTGCCTCGCAAGCGCAAGGACCCGACTTTGATCCCTGGTACCAAAAAAAACCCCAAAAACATTGTGTTTCAAAAGAAACCAATAATGTTAGAATATAAATACCTATACATTAGAAAACCCAGTGAGGCACATAGTAAAATGTGGGGGGTTTTTTGTTTTGTTTTGTTTTGTTTTGTTTTTGGTACCAGGGATCGAACTTGGGTCCTTGTGCTTGCAAGGCAGGCGGTGGAACCACTGAGCTAAATCCCCGGCAAACATGTATTTTTTTAATCATCACATTGTTAGAAAAAGATCTAGCTGCAGGTTTAATAACTACTGTGATTCTTAAGTAGTGATTAAAAGAAAGATTTTTCAAGGTATCTGCAACTGCTATGTGATGTGAAAATGTCTTTGTTATCTGCTAGAGTCATGTCAGAAGCCACTGCTATTATTTCTGTGGTTTGATACATTTGTAAGTGAAGGAAATGCTAAATTTCCATAAGAGATGTGTGAAAATTTAGGTGTCACTTGTTGCCCCAACCAAGTCCCGACATCATGTGCCAGGTGGTGTGTTAAGTTCAAACGTCATCTCATTTTGTCTTCCCAACACCCTGGGGAGAGGCTGGCTCAGGAGTCTAGAGCAGAACTAGCTTGAGGATCATAAGTCATCATTTCCCTGACCTTAGGCTCACAGAGTCTGTGACCTGCCCTGTCATCTCCCCCAGGACCCAGAGCAGCTCAGCATGGTGGGAAGAATAGCACAGACTCTTTGGGCGAGGCTGCTCAGTGCCAGCAGAGGATGGGTCTGTGGTGAGGGTTGGCTCCCCAACACCTCTTCTACCACACATACATCCTTCTACCCTCTGGTTTTTGCCAAGTGCCACTAAGAAAAGATGTAGCCCCAGTGTGGAGAATTCAGAGGCGAGAGATCCATGTACTGAATGGTGTTGGGGAACCCTTCTGGCATAGATGAGGTCTGAGTTAGTCCTTGAAAGCTGGGTGAAAATTGGGGAGAGAAAAGCTATAGAGAGGGCATCTTGAGGTGAGCCAGGCAGTGAACCATGCTCAGCATACACTTTCCTCGGTGTGAGGTCATTCAGCCTCAAGCCTGCAGGCCCACAACATGAGGACCAAGTGGAAGTTGGCTCCCATTGCCTTCTCCCAGGTGTCCTGCTGGGGTTTTGAGGAGAGCAGGGCTGATGTGCTCTGGGTTTTGGCCTGGGTCTGCCTAGCTCTCTGCTTTGTTAGAATGGGGCCAGCCCTCCTCCTGGGGCAGGAATCCTCTCTCTTATAGGTTCCTCCAGTGACAATCTGAGGCTTCTCCTTTTGCCTAATGCAGAATATGGACTGTAGAGTCAAACCCAAGTTTGAATCCTGTCTCTGCCACTGTGCTGCTAGGGGGCACATTACCTCCCCCGAGCTACAGTGCTCTCATCTCTAAAATGGAGTAAAATTCACCCTACCTCAGTGACTCAGTGGTTCAGCCCAAGTCTTAAGGAGTAGAGGCGGGGCATGTGGTAGGTGTTTCCTCCCCTTCTCCACAATGACTTTGTGGGACACTGGCATGGTTGAGACATGGAAGGAAAGGATGCTAATACAGCTTCACAAAACGTCTCCGCCCTCCCGTACTCCTGACCAGACAACATGGTGCCCAGGTGCCCGTCAGCTCCAGGATAGCCCAACAAAGTCTAGGAGCTGAGGCTTGTGTCCTGTGCCCCAAGGGCCTGTACCTCTCCTCAGCTGTCTCTGGGGCTGGGGCTTTGAGCCTGAAGTCCTATCTTAGTGCCACAGGACATACTCACTCCACCACTGCCAGGAGGGGAGCCTGAGGCCCACTGGAGCCCAGAGCCTGACCTGTGGCCATCTGGCTCCCCAGGAGTGGCCTGCAGCGCCATCCTCATGTACACATTCTGCACTGACTGCTGGCTTATTGCGGTGCTCTACTTCACCTGGCTGGCTTTCGACTGGGACACACCCAAGAAAGGTGAGTAGCTCTGGTGGGGTCTGTCAGTCAACAGTTACAAGGCTGGAGGGACAGTGAGGGAAAGGGTCAGTGGGAGGGGCAAAGGCACAGAGTGGGTTGAGAGTCACCCACCTGAGGGTTGCACACTGGCTCTGTCTGGGCGGCCTTGCCCAAATGTCTCCCAGCCCTACTTCTTCCTAACACTGTATTTTGCTCCTTGGAAGGTGGCAGGAGATCACAATGGGTACGAAACTGGGCTGTGTGGCGCTACTTCCGAGACTACTTTCCCATCCAGGTAAACACTTGTGTTGTTATTTTGGGAGGGTGAGAATGGATGGACTCTGAATCCAGGCTTTATCCCTCCCATGCACAGTGAACCCACATGTGAGTTGAGCTGTGTGGGATCTCCTACTATGAGTCATTCATAGTATACCTTCCATTCTGCAAAATGTGAAAGAACTTCAGATAACATATAATCCCATAAACTAGGTAAAGGAAAAAAATCCAAACTTGGAGGAAAATACTAGTATTTCAGCCTTAAGGGGAAACAGTTGCTGCTTCAGTTCACATTCAGCTCTTAGCTTCCCGGCAGCCAAGGCAAAAAGAGAAAGGAACGTAGTCATTGGCTTCTTGTTTTGGGAAAGGAAGAAACTTATTAGTTTTTGAGGAAACAAGACTTGTTCTACCTTTGGATCTGAAGATCATTCATTTATTGAGAGCCTGAGTGATGTAAGGAGCAGGTATAATAGCATATATTATGGCCATTGTTTACCTGAATATTAAGGATATAACCTAAAATGGAGGTGATTTATCAAGAGCAATATTATAATAGTCTAAGTTCATCTGGCCTGAATCAGAGGTAGAATGTAATTTCCATTGCTGTCCAGCCTCAAAGCCTAGCTCTTTCCACCATAGCATGCTGCCTCAGGGCAGGAGATCTATGGGGAGTCACCTGGGGCCCATGCTTCCCCCAGGCTGGGAGGATGGAGACAGGGACAGCCTGGCATGGCCCTGGGGATAAGGGGGACACTGTCTCGTCCAGAACAGTCTCCCCCTAAGAAGCAAGAATGGACTGAGGTGGCCGCTGGGTTTCATTCCTGCTGTATCATTGGCTGCTCAAGGGTCCCCACCTGTTCTCCTTAGCACCAGTCTTCTCTGGGGCAGACCCCAAGGCCCTGAGAGGAGCAGTGATGGTTTGGTCCAGCCCCTGCCAGGTTTGCACATTGGGCTGGCAGGGGAGGCAGAGCCATCTGGCCCTGATGCATGTGGGCTGTACTGGAAGATTGCAGGTTAACTCTAGCAGAATCCTGAAGGTTTCCCCAAGGAGAAAGACCTGTCCAGCTGGTTCAGTCAGCACCTAGCCAGGCACACTCCAGCTGCTGCTGCAGCCCAGCAAAAGGCAGGAGATTGAAGAGAGAGGCAGCGTGTGAGCGTGAAGGTGTTCTGTGCATGATGCAAGGTGGTAGATTTTGCTGGTGTGAGTCAGTCAGTAGGACATGCTAGCCTGATGTCGGGGTAGGCAGCCCGGTAGCCCAGCCTTGCTCCAAATCATGCAGTCTCGTGGGGGCAGCCTAGCTCCTTCTGCCCACCCACTACCCTTCCCAGGGCTGTCCTGCTCCTTGGGGTCAGGGCTCACTTACTTCCCTTGCCTGACACCCATTTCTCTGTCTGCAAACAGTTTGAGGCCATTGTTGCTGGGAGGCTGTTGCATCATAGGATCTTCTCTTGGAAGTGAGGACATTTTAGGACTGAGTCTCAGAGAGGGACAAGGACTCACCCAGGAGACACAGCAGGTCCATGGCAGCAGTAATACTAGAATCCAGTCTTCCTGAATCTGAGCCCTGATTTGTTCTTGCTGAATTCCTACTGCCTATTTCTCTGCAAGATTTAATCACCACATTTCCCTTTTGGATAGATTCTCACTTCCTGGGCTTCCTTCTTCCCCCTTTGCTGGAGACCTGGCTTTTAGTTCCTTTTCTGTCACTCTACTGACCTGCCAGTTGCTCTCTGTCCAGTGCTGGGCTCTGTGCCCACCTGGGGACATAGAAAGATCAGCCCTGGCCCCTGCTATTGGGGTGGGCTCACTGCCTAATGAATCCTGCTGGACTTTGTCACTTTCTGCACAGACTTTCTCAAACTCAACAAGTACCACTTGCCTCACCTGCAAAATGGAACTGTCATATGATAGAAAGATTATATTACAAATTATATATTATATATATATATAAGTTTTATCTATAGATCAAAGATTATATTAGTTTTAAGATTATAATCTCAAAATTATAATTGGGATGAACAACTATGGACTCTGTTTTGTGCCCTCTCTCTTTCCTACCCCAAGGACCCTTCCCAGGGCTGTCCTGCTCTTTGGGGTCAGGGCTACCTCCCCTCCCTTGTCTGAACCCCACTTTTCTGTCTGAAAACAGTTTGAGGCCATTGTTGATGGGAGGCTGTTGCATCATAGGACCCAACCTTCTCTTGGAAGTGAGGACACCAAGTTCCCAAAAGGACTCTTTTGCCACCGTGGCCTTGTCCTCAGGAGGCTTCCTGGAGGCTGTAGCCACCTCCACATAGAACAGGATGAGCTAATAACCTCTGATCAGATGTAGAACAGGGAGATGTCCTTCCTCACCTGATCTCCACCTTCACAAAAGAACCCAAACAAGCCCCATGTCTTTATCTCATCTCAGTTCCAAGAAGTCAGCTGCAAGTTGAAGCTGGAGGGCATGTGCATGCTGAACGCCAGGACCGAAGCCAAGCTAGGCCCATGCAGGCTAGAACACTGAGCTGCAACCTGAGGCCTGCGCTGGATTCTGCCCCTGCTCCTTGGAGCCTCAGGGTCCCCTCTGTTGAGAGAGAAATTGGCCTTGTTGATTAATGTCCAGTCTGACACTCTGTAGGGCTGTGTGTGACCCTCTTGTCCCACCCCTTTTTCCTGGTCTCCTGACACTGATTATGTAATAAGGATCTCTAATCTTCACCTGTACCTACACACCCCTCCTCACTCCCTTCTTGGTGAGCACTGTGCTTTTTGCCACCAGAGCAGCTCAGCTGGCCCAGAGAGCATTACTTTTCTTGGCAGAGGTGAGGCTCAAGGGTCACCAGCAGCCACCAGGACTACTGGCTACTTGGGAGAGGAGTAGACAGTGTCCTGTGTCACCTCTTCCTCGAATATAGGCAGGACCTCTGGAGAGGAGACTGGTAAAGACTCTGAGCTTAGACTCATCTATCTGCTCAACTGTGTCATTTCACAGATGCACAGGCTGAGGCCCAGAGAGGATGGACTATGCCAAGGTCACAAAGCAAGTCTATAGCAGGCCTGGTATGGGAGCCAGAGCTGCCTGCCCCTGGGCCATGTTCTTTTTTCAGTACTGGGGATCGAACTCAGGACCTTGCACTTGTGAGGCAGACGCGGCACCACTGAGCTATATCCTCAGCCCCCCAGGGCCATGTTCTTGCTGTCTTGTTCCTCTGCCACCGTGCCCTGCTGTTTAAGCCTGGGTGAGTCTCACTCTTCTCTGGGCCTGAATGTCTCCCTCTGTGTGGGGCTGGCATAGGACAAGCACCTCTGAACACCTTTCCTGGTCTGGAAGGCATAGGGTGAAGAATGCCCTGCCAGGAATGTGTCCCAGGCTTATGTTGGCCAGCAGACCTGGCCTGGGCACCCTGTTTGCCTGGTTCTTTGCCATGGGAAACAGTCAGGGGACATAAGAGCCTTCAGCAGCAGGGTCTTCTCTCTTCCTCTCCAGAGTGGACATTCTGTCCAGTGCTGGGGAAGGGGAGTGTGACATGAAGGCAGATCAAAGCTGTATTGGGTGCCTCCATTCTTCTGGGTATTGCAGCAAAGGCCATTAACCAGCACCTTGCCTGGAGACTTCATTTAGCCTCATATCCCATCAGATAAAGCCTTGGGGAAAAAGGAAATGATTTACACATCACCATCACAGTGGAAAAGGGTGGCTTTGTGCAGCTGGGTGACGATGTCCAGATGTGGAGAGGATTTGCCATGACCTCCTCAGGGGAAGCAGCAGCTCCTTTCTCTAGGCCCCATCTCCACCTTGCCATCCAAGGAATACCTGGCTCTTCAGTGTTCTGTCACCCTTTCTGTACCTTGGGCTCCAGGTTGTGAGGACAGGCCCCAGGCTTGACCAGCAGCTCAGGAGCGAGTTTCCAGCCTGGACCTGGCTACCTCAGCTCAGTGCTTCCTCAGTGCCTTCCTTTTCTGTGGAAACAGGCCCAAGTGCTTTGAATCCTGGCTTTCCTGAGAGCCAGGTAGGTGGGCAGAACCCTGGCACAGTAGTCTTTTAGAGCTGTGGTGAACTCGGACTCCATTTAGAACCACCTCCTACCATCCTCTTGCCATGGATTAGCCTGGTGCTGCTCGCCAGTTCTTGGTGAGCAGCTGGGAGCTGGGTGAGTTTTCAAGCAGCTTTAATCTGCTTGTCAAAGGCGGAGTGGGAGAGAGAGTGCCAATGTCGCACACAACAAGGGCAACATTAGGGAATCTTGCTCACAGACTGGCAGCTCCAGAACTGCGAATGGTGCCAGCCGCCCCTGTTCTATCCCCCTCAGGCCCCGTCACCTGAAGATTAGGGTTTCTGTTCTCTGAGGCCATCACCAGCACCCCTAGTCCCCAAACTGAGCTCAAGGACTCTCAGCCAAGAGGTCCTCAAATCTGGATTCATGGAAAATTTGGGCTTTCAGTGTTCTGCCAGTAGCTGGGGACTCTGCTTCTAGCTGGCATGAGTGTAGGAAAGGGACACTGTTAAGCACTCAGGTGGGAACGTTAATGGTGTCACCTCTCTCGAGGAAGGTCAGCCAAAAAGACCAACATGTTCATACCCTTTGACTCAGAAATTCTGTTTCTGAAAGTTTATCTCATGAAAGCCATCAGATATGTGGACGAGATAAGGTATTTATTGATGTGTTATTTCCAAATGTAAATCTGGACACTTAAAATGTCCATCAACCAGAAATTGAGTCAGTACTATTATCTGTAGCATACCTGTGCCATAGAAGAAGAATGCAGCCCTGAGCAGACATGTAGCTGGGGATTTTAATAAGGATAAATAATGAGGTTATGTTTGGTAGAAAAGGATACAAAATTGTGTCAGTTCTCTAGCCTCAAGTTTTCATTTTTTGACAAAGGCCACGTGTATACTTAAGTAGGAAAAAGACCTACATCACGGTGGTTTATCTAATGGAGGTGTAGCAGATGCTTTCGATTTTCTTTGAACTTCCCTAAAATTAAAAAATTCTGAGCATTTATTATTTTTCTAATCAGAAAAAAGTGGTATTTTAGGAACAAAATACCCTTATTCTTTGCCTCTCAGCATCCTCTGCCCTCATCATGTGCTTTGTAATGGTGAGTAGGTGTCTCAGGCTCAGTGCCTGGTTGCACATGGTTTAAGGACACTTTGCATCACCCCACCCTCTGTATCCCCCACCTCAGGGCAGGTGTTGAGCCCTGCAGGAGCCAGTCATGCTTTGGAGCACCCCACAATAGCTTTGCTGATAGACCACAGGTCAGACCATAGGGTGTTACAGTGGTACAGCTCAGCCCCTCTCCCTTCCCCTGCCCCTGGGGCTGGCTAGCACAAGGGCTGACATCTGCCCTGTCCTATCTTTCCTGCGTCTGAATGTGAGCTGGGCCTGGCTTCTTGGCAAGAAGTTTCCATTTAGGCCAACTGCACTGGCCCTTGCCTGGGCCAGAGGAGTAGGAGGTGGGTTTCACAGTTCCTTGTGATTCCTTCTGTGAGCTGTTGAGTAGAGGCCAGAAAACCCCTATGTCCACAGAGCTCCTTGTCTGGAGAGACTGACAGTAGAAATAGCACCTACAGCTAAGACCCGATGTGCCAAACTAAGGATCTTTGACTTCACCCTGATGGAGGCTGGATACCCCTCTTTAGTTGAGCATGATGAGTTGGATTTGGGTTTTAGAGTAATCACTCTGGCTGTGGTGAGAAAGATGGGCCCAGAGGGTGGAGGGCAGGAGTCTGATTGAGTGTGAATAAGTAGATCAGGTGTATGTTTGGCTGGCAATAAGGGGAATGAAGGAGAAAGGCTCCCCTTTCCCAAGGACTCACAGTTCAAATGGTAGCTGCCAATTGCTGGCACTGTGGAGCCAGTGATGACAGTCCAAGGTCAGCAGGGAGAGTCTCTGCAGTCCTTTGGGCCCACAGAGTCCCAGGTAGAATGGGGCAGCCACCTTCTAGGCGTGCCCCAGTATCCCTCTCTTGGCCAGCTGCCTCTGACCCAAGGCTTTCCTTGCAGCTGGTAAAGACACACAACCTGCTAACCACCAGGAACTATATCTTTGGCTACCACCCCCATGGCATCATGGGCCTGGGTGCCTTCTGCAACTTCAGCACAGAGGCTACTGAAGTGAGCAAGAAGTTCCCTGGCATACGGCCCTACCTGGCCACACTGGCTGGCAACTTCCGGATGCCTGTACTTCGAGAATACCTGATGTCAGGAGGTAAGAGTCCACCTCTGCCTGCCCTCTGGACTCTGCTGTCAAGGTTGGAGCCTCCCCACTGAGCAGGGCAGCACAGGGAACTGACATGCCATTCCCCATGCTGGTCCTCTGCAGGAAGATGCCACCTGCCTAAGGTGCTGGGTCAGGGCTGAGCAGGAGGGCAGTTCACATTGTCTTCAGGATTCAGCTTGCATAACATCTCCCTTAGGAGGCATTCTCTGACCCCCTTTTCTGGGCACCCTCGCCCTCACATTGCCCATTGTACACCCTTATCATTTTAGAGGGCACTGTCATTGTCTGATGCCCATTGACTCACTGTGATCCCCAGCACCTGGCACCAACCTGACAGAGTTAGGACCTGAGGAAATGTTTGCTCAATAAATGAGTTCCTCGGACAACCTCATATCACTATCCCCACTTTCCAGATAAGAAAGCTGTGGTTCACAGAAACGAATAGCTTTTATGGGGTCATACAGCTTCTAAGTGGGTGGGTTGGGTCTGAGACCCACATACAGAGTTTTCTGTTTTATGCTTGACTGAGGGCAAAGGGTAGGCAGTGCATCCATGAGCACTCTTGATTGTATGTCTTTCCCTCTCCCCCAGGCATCTGCCCTGTCAACCGGGACACCATAGACTACTTGCTGTCAAAGAATGGGAGTGGCAATGCCATCATCATCGTGGTGGGGGGTGCGGCTGAGTCCCTGAGCTCCGTGCCTGGCAAGAACTCGGTTACCTTGAAGAACCGCAAAGGCTTTGTGAAACTGGCCCTGCGCCATGGGTAATGCTCCCTTGCTCCCCAGTACACACCACTCCAGTTCTCTCCTCAGCCCAGGGCAGAGGCCCCTGGGCCCCTGGAGGCAGGGCCCAGACCCCAGGAAGGCAGAGAACGGTAGGATGTTGGAGCCCAGACTGTACGCCGAGTTTGCCCAAGGGTAGACAGGTGTCTGAGTAGAGAAAAGATATGGTCTGTGGCCTCTGGGCCCTTACAGGTACCCTGAGAAACCTAGCTCACCTGCAGGACTACCTGGGGCCAAAATGCGTCATGCTGCTGGGAGAGCAGGAGGCCAGGAGGATGGCATGGCTGGGAGCATGGGGGACAGGTTGTTGGAGGGGTGACCCTGGGGACAAGCAGAGAGGGGCTGGGCAGCTTGGATCTCTGTGACCCTTTCTAGAAAGATAGAGACACATTCTGTGTTGCCATTTGTCCAGTGTATTCAGTTTGATAAGCTCACTGCTTCTACTGTCCCCTTTGATTCCTCAGCAACCCAGCAGGTGAGGAGACAGAGTCTCCCATTTCCCAGTGAAGAAAACTGAGGCTAAGTGATTAGTCAGGGACACACTATGAGGTGCAGAGCCAAGGTGCTTATACTCAAGTTCCACTGATTTCCTCCCAGATATGGGCTCTGAGCAGCTTCTGGGGGTGACAGCCCTGCAGTGGTGCCTAGGCCAGAGTGGGAGGTGTGGCCTGCAGTTATACACAGATAGGGGAGGTACGAGGCCATGCTATTGGATACATCCTGGAGTGTGCCTTGGGGATAGTAGCCCTCCTCTGTCCCCTCTGGACCCTACTCAGGCTTCACTAAAGGCTGTTCTCTAGAGCCCAGCCAGGAGCCAGCCCTTGGACCAGTCAAATCTGACCCAGTCCCCACTTTCAGGGAAGTAGGAGGGTCACAGTATGCCGAGGCTGTGACATGGGGCTGACTCCAGGGCTGAGTGAAATCTGGGGCAGGGAGGCCTTCCCAGGGGAGGCAGGTCCTGCAGGATGAGAGCAAACATATCTTCCCAGGACAGGCACTTCCTAGTCACAAGCAGGAGGCAGGGGGCCCATCGGAATCTGGCTGTGAGGGGACATGTGGTTCTGGTCTGCCCCCAGGGCCAGGGGCAACTTGGCTGGTATCCAGGGCCTCGAGGGCTGACAGTGGGAACTGAAGCCAGTGATTGGTGAATGACAGACCCTGGCCTCTCCCTTTCAGAGCTGACCTGGTTCCCATCTACTCCTTTGGGGAGAATGAGGTATACAAGCAGGTGATCTTCGAGGAGGGTTCCTGGGGCCGATGGGTCCAGAAGAAGTTCCAGAAGTACATCGGCTTTGCCCCATGCATCTTCCATGGCCGAGGCCTCTTCTCCTCTGACACCTGGGGGCTGATGCCCTACTCCAAGCCCATCACCACTGTCGGTGAGTCCCCATCCTGCACAAGGGCTGCCTTGTACATGTCAAGATCCCAGTACTGGCTACCTGGCTCTCACCACTGTGCTCTTAGCCATGAGGCCTTTGATGTACGGGGTGCTGGTGGGAGGGCTCAGTGGGGTGGGGGGAGATGGGTGAGAAAACAAGACCTCCAGGAGTCGGGAGGTCTGTTGGGGAAACTGTTACAGCAAAGACTACCGAGGCTGTGATCGGGGTGTCCAGGTGCTCTCGTGGGTCACAGTGGACCCTCCTGAGGAACTGACTCTGGCACTGTTCGCTGATAGGAATTATCCAGCAAAAGAAGAGAGGAAGAGAGCTTCTGTCAGAAACGATTAACCTAAGTGAAGTTGCAGAAACAAGATTGTATAGACTTTTGAGGAACAGAAGGAAAATAATAACAGCTGGAGCATAGACCTACACGAGGCCCTCAGCTGTGTTGTTTTGCATGTATTTGGGACAATTCAGAGGACGGCAAAGAATTACTTATCATGGGTGTGTGCCTGTGCATCTGTTTGCTTGTGTGTGTGTTAAAGGTCCCACAGGAGCAAGTGGTCCTGGGCAGTGGACTTAAAGGGCCAAAGCTCACACACATACTTTATGTTATCACAGATAGGCACCTGCTTTGTATTTTAGAGACAAAGGAAGCATCAAGGCAGCAGGAGCACTTCCCTATAGCCCACCCACCCCGGCCTTCCTTCCCTGATGGTCTCAGGTTCCCCCTGCCCCAGACGCCACCCGTGGGGAGCCAGCCCACTCCTTCTTGCCTGCCACCCAGGCACCAATTGTGGGGGACCTAGATCCCAATACTTTGTTCTCCATGACCCAGGGGTGCCTGAGGACGAATGACAAAGAGACACAGAGTCAGTTTAACATCAGGGCAGCCACGGGGCTCATGCCGCTAGTAGACAAAGGATGACCTGTCTGGCTCATCTGACCTTTAGTCACCCAAACGCAGGTATAAGCAATCAAAGTAACACAAACAAGATTCATCTACTTTCCAATATCCCTTAGTACACGCTGAGCTAAATAACCTAATCCCAGCTGTCTTAACTTTTCCCTGGAACCTACAATATGCAGTCACCCCTGAGTGCAGCCTTTCTCCTTTGTGCTCACAGAGGAGACTAATTAGGCCTCAGTTCTCCTCTGGTCATCCACATTTCCCTGCACAGGTGTAGCTTGAGAGGACGGGGGGGGGGGCGGTCCTGGGGGCAGTGCCATTTTGAGAATGCAAAGCTGCCGAAGGGTGTTTGGGAGAGCAGGTTCAGATTTGCATTTTAAAGTGAATCCTGGGAGCAAGTCATGATGGTCCAGGCCTGTAATCACAGCACTCTGAGAAGCTGAGGCAGGAGGATCACCAGATTGCAAGTTGAAGTCCAGCTTGGGCAATTTAGTGAGACTATCTCGAAATAAAACATAAAAGCCGGGCATGGTGGCGCACACTTGTAACCTCAGCACTTGGGAAGTTGAAGCAGGGGGATCGCCACAAGTTCAAGCCCAGCCTGGGCTACATAGTGAGTTGAAGGCCAGCCTGAATTACATGGTGAGACCCTGTCTCAAAAAAAAAAAAAAGTAGGGCCGGGGATGTAGCTCAGTGGCACAGTGCCTGCCTGGCAAGCATGAGGCCCTAAGCTCAATTCCCAGTACCAAAAAAAAAAAGTAAAAAAAATCTGGGAATGTAGCTCAGTGTGAAGGCCCTGGGCTGAATTCTCAGTACTGACAAATAAATAATAAAAATAAATAAGTGACATCTAGAGCTGCTGGGAAAAAAATACGTTAGAATGGGCAAAATGGAAGCCCTAAGATCAGACCATAGGCTTTTGTGGTAGCCAGTGACATGGCCTGAGGGAAAATAATGGTGATGGAAGAGATTTGGGAGAAATCTCAGCATTGGCAGGGCTTAGAGGATTAGGTCTGGAGATGGTGCAGGACAAGAAACTTAAACAATGCACACATGCTAGGAACGTTGGTCTCTTTTCCTCTTTCCTGCCCTTATCACACCTGCCTGTGCACATCATATTCTTCACAGAATCCTTAGAAAAGCCCTCTGAGGTGACATGGAGGAAACTGATGCTGAAAGAGGCAAAGTGGCTTGGGCAGAACAGAGCAAAAGCAGACATTTACTTAGTCCTGTGACCTTAGTCCTAGACCTTCCTGTGAAGTGCAAAGGGTCGATTTCATCTGCTGCTGAGAGGCTTTGTGGCCTTGGGCAGGTTCCTTCCCATGTTCCTAGCATTTGGTCTTCTCATCTCTAAGAGGGACCAGTCTGGGATGAAGCACGCTTCCTGGAACATGGCTGGCACAAAGTCACCACCATCAGCATCATGGTGGGTGCTCAGGAAGGAGACGTTCCATGGTATTGACTAACCAGATGCCTCTGTCCCTCCCTGCAGTGGGCGAGCCCATCACCATCCCCAGGGTGGAGCACCCGACGCAGAAGGACATTGATCTGTACCATACAATGTACATGGAGGCCCTGGTGAAACTCTTTGACAAACACAAGACCAAGTTTGGCCTCCCGGAGACCGAAGTCCTGGAGGTGAACTGATCCAGCCCTTGGAAGGAACCGGCTGCAAAGTGTTTTCTACCAAGTTCTCAAATGCTTTTTGTTCTGTAAATTTGGAAGTGTCATGGGTGTCTGTGGGTTATTTAAAAGAAATTATAATTTGTTAAACCATTACAATGTTAAGTGTTTTTTAAGAAGGAAAAAAAATATATTTTAAGCTGTTTCACTTCCAGTGTGTCCTGTTCTAGGTGGTGGCTAACACATCTGGGCCTTAATGGTTTCTCAATCAAACCCCTGGTTCCCTTTCTGAAATGACAGAGACAACTCAGTTCTGGTTAATTGGGGAAGGATGGCCATTAGTGATTCAGGCCAGTTCGATGGTTCATTTTTTGCTCCCAGGCATGAGAAGCAGAAGCCACTTCTAATACAAACACCTCTTGCCACCACCCTGTGCTTAACTGAAAGACTTGGTCCCTGTTGCCCAGGGGAAGACATGGAGGGCACAGCTGTCCCCGCTTTGGAAGGGCAGTAGTGAGCATCTGGAACGCTCCAGCTTGAGTCTCCTCTCTACCCCTTGACCCGAACCCTGTCAAATCTGAGCCTGAACCAGCTGCCAGTGATAATGTGCTGAGGACAGGGCTGTCCCAGAGACACCATCTCTGGGATTCTCCAGAATGCTGGAGAGTAACTGGCTTTGCTCAGGAAGCTGATGGCGTGGACTCTGCACAGACTCAGCCTTGACCTGGAGCATGTCCTTCCCAGTGGCCTGGGTTTGACCAAGCCACACCCCGAGTCTGGTGTAAGGGAGGCCTTCTGCACAGCACACTGGGTCCAGGACAGAAGGCCCTGAACCTAAGCCTCACATATTTGTGCCTTTCTGAGGGGCTTGGAGCCAGGGAGGCAACCCAGCCCCTCCTCTGTGTGTTGTTTTCTCTCCGTGACATCATTGTACCATGTCAGTCTTTTGTATATTCCTAGACAAATAAATGGAAAAAAGAACCCTCTGCGTGATTGCTGGGCTCCATCTGCACCCTGTCACAACACTTGGTGATGCCCAGGGCCCCTGCTGGGCTGCCTGCTGGGCTGCCTGCTGCACCCTCTAGTACACTTGTTATCAATGGCTGTGTGACAAATTACTTCAAAACAGCGGCTTCAAACATTTTTCTCTCACAATCTGTAGAGTTGGGAGTTGAGGCTTTGCTGGATCCTCTACTTGGGGTGTCTGCCGAGGACACAGTCATCTCAAAGTCCAAGGGATGGAGGGTCACTTGCAAGGCCCTTCCTGTGGTTGATGACAGGATTCACTTCCTTACTGGCTGTTAACCAGAGGCGGCTCTTGGTTCCTCAACACGTGCATCTTTTCACAGGATAGCTCAGGTTTTAGCTGGCTTCATTGGAGTAAGCAAGAAGAGCCAGTACGCAAAGAGAAGAGCATGTGAGCAAGATGGAAGCCACAGTCCTTTCTAACTTAGTCATGGAAGTGATAATCAGCATTGCCATATTCTAATCATTAGATGTGAGTGTCTAGGTGCAGCTCATGCTTTAGTAATTGTACAAGGAGGGAAACACCAAGAGGCAGGGCCGCTGTCCTGCTGGGAAGTCCTAGGATGGCTGAGGGTGAAAGGTCCTTACAGGTCACCAAAACCATGTTCCCTGCCTGTGACCTCAGCTATACCCATGGCCTGCTGTGCCCCAAGTGGTCGCAGGGTCTCACAGGATGCCACCTCTCTGTTCTAAGTACTAAGCACCCAGGAACCTTTCCCAGCTGAGACCAAAGGATTCCTCCCAGCCTCTTTACTGTGGGATGCCCATCCTGCCATCTGCCAGTCCTCCACCTCCATGTTGGAAACAAGCTGTGAACACTACAGGGAGAGACAGTGAAGAGAGCTGAGGATACCCAGGGTGGTCAGGGCTGTGACAGGAACCCCTCTAGCCCAAGCTAGGGTGCCTCACTGAGGACAGGGTACTGAGCTAGCCCTTGAAGGGTAGTTGGAAGGTTGCCACGAAGGGAGGAGGAGGGCGGCGGTGCAGGTGCTGATGAGGCAAAGGGGGAGGAGTCTGTGACTGAGCCAGGCTTAGAAAGGCAGGGAATTAGTTGGTTTCCCCATAAAGTTTCTATGTGGCCAGGAGGGCAGCAAAGTGGGGAAGTGCTCTGGAGGAGTTAGCAGAAGCTGGGTTCTATAGAGCCAGACAGGCTTCAGGACACCGCTGAGGACAGAGGACAGCCATTTAGGATGGAGGCCAGACCTTTTTCTGATGAGAGGCTGGGCCCCCCAGCCTGAGGCTGACCTGACACTGGATTATAACCTAAACCGAGCTATAGCCCTAATTTAGACCACCCCCTAAATGGAGGCTGTTATTCTCAGGTTGTGAACTGTGAATGGTTGCTGTATTCTAGGGGACTCAGCCATCTCTGCCTAAGGAGGACATCAATAATAACTGGCTCCCAGACCCCAGCAGGATCCCCTCACCCAGGGCAATATATGTCTAGCAGCAGCCTTCCAGAGCAGAGGACAGGCCAGCGCGCTCCAACGCTGTGCCTCAGGGACTCCAGGTAGATGCTGTGAATGTTGCCTTGGGACTTTTTACCTTGGAAAAAATTTTGCCCTGGGTAGTGGTGGTGGTAGTGAACCTGCGTCTCAACCTGAAAATTGTCATTTCCATGATTCTGTTTGTAGTTCCCAGATAAACCAAAAGGGGGCACTAAGGACATTGCTGGTCTAAGGCAAATGCTCCTGGCTTCCTGAAGCTTCTCAAATCTTGACTTTTATCCAGCTCCTGACCTGGGCTAGCAGCTAGAGGTAAAAAATCAAGGATTCACAAATGCTTAGCCCTAGACAGGAATTCAAATCATCCACCTAGAATAAATACTCCTAACCTGGACTATGGCATAGAAGGCCAAGGGACTTGGCTTTAATCACACAGCAGATCAACATTTACTGCATGCTTCCTTTTGATAAGGCTTGAGAGGTTTCCAAGTAGAATGCCCATTGTTCCTAGGTTTTGAACATAATTGGAGAGGCAGGACTGTAAAGTGGTCATCTGTGTTCAAAACCTTTGTCATCTGTTACACCGTTTGGTTCTAGTCACTAGGGCTGCCCACCCCTCAGCAGAAGCAGCGATCTCATCACACTGGACACTTCTTTCTTCCTCTCCCTCACCCCACTCCAGTGCCTGCCCGCTCCTGCTCCTGCTGAAGTGTCTCTCCAATAAGTCCCTCTTTTCTCATTCCTAAAATCATGTACTAACCAATGCGGGCTGCAAATGCCACCTGCATTAGCACATCACTTATCAAGCTCACTCTGTGAGCTTCACCTTTTGCATCTGTAAAATGGGCATAATCTCTGTTCCTGAGTAATCAAGATAATAGGTATCTAAATATATGGTATATAAATTTAAAACATTCATCCCTGGGCTTGGCCCATAGCCCTCACCAGGAAACAGTAGTTATGATCGTTACCCTTATCTGCTCTCCTTGACCTGATAGACTGAGCTCCTGTTTCCAGGTTCTCTTCCACCTCACCATTCCTGCAGCTGGCAAAAGCACCTTTCCTTTAGTTCCTTTTTTTTTTGAGATTATAATTCATATACCACAAAAGTACCCCTATTTAAAAAAGCATACCCTTTTGAAATGTGTAATTCAGTAGCTTTTAGTATTTTGACAAAGTTGTCCATCAATCACCAATTTCTAATTCCAGAACATTTTCATCAACCCCCAAAGAAACCTCATGCCCATTAATAGTCACCCATTAATAGTTAGCTCCTGGCTAATCACTAATCTGTTTTCTCTCTATGGGTTTGCCCCCATTCTGGACATTTCATATAAATGGAATCATACAACAGGTGACCTTTTATGTCTGGCTTTCACTCCAGACATGTGAGATAAATTCACATTGTAGCATGGAAAAATACATACATATATATTTGTTGGGGAGAGAGAGACAGAGACAGAGAGAGAGAGAGGGAGGGAGAGAGAGAGAGAGAATATGTATACACACTCACTTTGGGAAAGGAAAAATAGTATGATGTTTTCCCAACAGTTGGTGTTGCTCATATGGAGATGCTAGGGGATGTCGCATATCACAGAAAACCCACCACACTGCCAGCCCTTAGAGAAGAAATTGAAAACGCATGCGCAGCAATCTCAACGACCAAGGTTACCCAAGCAGCAGTTTGCTGTACTAATAAATGTCTGGAACCTCATGGCCACCACTTTGAACACCTCTTGTAACTGCAGAGACCAAAAATAACTTGTATTAATCTCACGATGTCTCAGTAAATTTAGTAGGAGCTAAAGTGGGCACTTCAGCAGGAGCAGGAGCGGGCAGGCACTGGAGTGGGGTGAGGGAGAGGAAGAAAGAAGTGTCCAGTGTGATGAGATCGCTGCTTCTGCTGAGGGGTGGGCAGCCCTAGTGACTAGAACCAAACGGTGTAACAGATGACAAAGGTTTTGAACACAGATGACCACTTTACAGTCCTGCCTCTCTAATTATGCTCAAACACCTAGGAACAATGGGCATTCCACTTGGAAACCTCTCAAGCCTTATCAAAAGGAAGCATGCAGTAAAGTTGATCTGCTGTGTGATTAAAGCCAAGTCCCTTGGCCTTCTATGCCATGTCAAATATATGTATCCTATGTGTCATATATATGTATCATCAAATATCTATTGATACAATATATATTGTATCATTTGTCCTTTGAAGCAAAAAGCTTTAATTTGATACAATCAAATATCTTTTTTGTTGTTGGGCATATTTTTTGTGTTCTAAGAAAACCTAGCTTCTTTCTAAGTCTCAAATATAGACATGCCTCATGTAATGGCCAAGTTCCATTCCTGACTAGGTTGTTAAATGAATTGGTCGTCAAACAAGGAATTATACATATTGTACTTATGCTTATGTTTTCTTTTAAAGATTTTATAGTTTTCAGCTCTTACATTTAGATCTCCAAATTATTTTGAGTTAATTTTTTGTTTTGTTTTGTTTTTGTTTTTTTTTTTGGTACCAGGGATCGAACTCCGGTCTTTGCGCTTGCAAGGCAAGTGGCAGAACCACTAAGCCAAATCCCTGGCCCTTGAGTTAATTTTTTATATGGCTGAGGTATAGTCCAACTTGATTCTTTTACATGTGGGTATCTAGTTATCTAACACCATTTGTTGAAAAGATTAGTCTTTCCTCATTAAATTGTCTTGACACTCTTTTGATTATAAATGTGAAAGTCTATTTCTGGATTTCTAGTTCTGCTGATCTGTATTTCTATAGTTATGCTGGCACCACCATTCTTTTTTTTATTTTATTTTTTTCACCATTCTCTTTTGTAGTGCTAGGTATTGAACCCAAGGCCTGATGCATGCTAGGCAAGTGCTCTACCACTGAACTACACCCCTAGGCCTGTCACACAGTCTTAATTAGTTCGTGATAAATGTTGAAATCGGGAAGTCTTCCATTTTGTTCTCTTTATCACAATTATTTTGGATATTTTGTGTCCTTTGCATTTCCATATGAATTTTAGGATCAGCTTGTTAACGATTGCAGAAAAAGGTAACTGAGATTTTGATGGGAATTGCATTAAATATGTGGATCAATTTGGTGAATTTGGCTATCATAATATCAATTCTAATTTTTTCCATTTCTTTAGATTTTCTTTAATTTTTTTTCTTTTTGAGACAGTGTCTCACTACATAGTCCAGGCTGATCTTAAATCCTTGTTCCTTCTGTCTCTGCTTCCCAAGTGTTGAGATTATAAGTGTGTGCCAGTGTAACCAGCTTTTTGATCCTATTGTACATGAAACTGCTTAATTTCATTTTGGGGATGTTCATGTTAATGTATAGAAATACAATTTTTTTGCATATTGATCAAGTTTTTTACAACCTTGCTAAACACACATATTAGTTCTAATTGTTTCTTTATGGATTACTTTGGGTTTTGTATATAGATCATTTCATGGGAATGGTGAATAAAGATCATTTTATTTCTTTCCATCTAGATGCCTTTATTTTTATT